GGAGAGAAGGAGGACGCAGAAGATCTTCCGGATTTCCCGACGAAGGACAAAGAGCAAGATCATATGTCAGAGGATAACGATACTGGACCAAGTCCGGCGTCGGAGCGTGAGCAGACCGGTCCGAAAGCAGACGTTCTGACGGAAACCACCAAGAACGAAGGGGCCGAGGACGAGAAACCTGTAATCCCAGAAGATGGGACTGCCACCCATAAGAAGCCATCAGAGGCATGAGGTACATGAGCACCGCTCGAAAGAAACAATGTTATCAATTAGTCATGGTTACAGTTGTGTGCCGATTCTCCTGCATAGAAACAGCGATGGTCGTCCTGGATTGAATAGGCCGACCCTAACACACGGAATGGAGCCTACGCTGCACTGCGCTTGTCAGGACTCGAAACTCCACGTGTATGAAATCTGTGAACAAGCGCCCGGAGATCCTCCTGGGTTCTTTAATGCATGCTGAAATGGTCGTATTAAGGCTTCGAGCGCTACATACGGCAGGGAAATGCTGTTGCTCAGGCACAATTAAGAGTTGAGGACCTGGCTGGAGGCGAGGCCAAGGAGACGTCGGCGTTTGATTTCGCTCGAATTACTTTTTCAGACAGCGCAGAGGTCTCTGCAAGCCCAAAATAAATCCACACCTTGTCTAGACACCTTTGGTCTCGGTTGGGACGTCACGATGATAGTTTCAGGGACTTACTTGTCTTGAGCTGCTCCGGTCACCATTGAGTTATGTAGACAACACCAGCCGCTCTCCCTCCTCTCCGCTTTCACCACTCGCACTTGACCTTACTCAATCTTTTAAACATATTTGAGCTGCATCATTGAATAGCATTGTAGTTTGTAACTTAGAGATAATGTTATAAACGACCCACGGAAATAGATTGGTTGAGAAAGGATTTTGGTTCGATTCTTTTGAGGACACGTCATCAATAGAATCTGGATGGAGGGAAAAAAAAAAGACCAAGCAGCAGAGTGGCGCGGGGGTGGTCAAATAGTTCTGCAGATCCGCGGTTAACTGTCGAAGGTTACTTGAAACCCGTATTGCAGAGTTCTAAACCGGTCCAAAAAGAGTGTCCTCGCTCGGGGTCGAACCGAGGGCCTTGTCCGTTAACATTGATGTGAAGGACACGTGATAACCACTACACCACGAAGACTGGGTGTCGGGGAGCGACAAAAGCTATCTATAGAATGTTAAAATAAGCTTTGGGTCAAATCCCTCAGAGCAATGCTCTTTTCCTTGGTGAGACTGCTCACTTCTCAAACTATCGACTCGTACACCCAAGGCTTAGCACCACTATATCAAACCAAGCAACTGGAAAAGTACTGAACGGCCATTGAACGGGCAAGCGTAGAGGCTTGGGGAGAAATAGGGGCTAACGAGGACATGCTTTAACCGTGAGACTCGGTCGAGATCAACAGATTTCTTCCGAGTGTAAACTCTTCCCCAAGTCATCTCCTTCCACTCTCACTTTTTCCATCCTCCTCTCACCCTGTTCACCTCGTGTCTATAATGTCCAAGCGAACAGCAGACGAAGCCGGCCATGGCGTCGACATCAGCGAGGTCGACATGGACGCCCTCAACAGGCTCATCAAGGGTACGCGAATCGTCTTTAGGCCACCGAACGACTCTTTCTGAGACTTTACTTGAACTAATGTAGAGCAGGACCGTTGTGAGCTCATCATTGGTGCGCCTCACCTTCGTCAATCCTCCCTTCCTATCTAACGTCGTCCTACTACAGACCGGCTCGCCGAGAAGAAGCTCGGTCCCATCTATGAAAAGCGCCGTCCAATCATCGCCAAGATCCCCAAGTTCTGGGCCATGGCTTTCGGTCAACACGCCGAACTGTTCGCCTACCTGCAAAACAAGGAGGACCAGGATGCCTTAGGCTACCTCCGTGACGTGAACGTCACCCGCGACCCAAAGGAGTCTCGTGCTTTCACGATCGAAATGGTATCTGGACCATTCCAATAAAATTTTATCGAGTCCTGCTCTGACTTGCGTTTCTTCTCATTACGTATAGCACTTCAACGAGAACCCATACTTCTCCGACTCCGTCATGCGGAAGGAGTACCGCTACATCGCTCCCTCTGGCGCCGACTCGGAACAAGCCGACGCTGACGGTCTTACCCCCTCCGC